TAAATGAATATAAGAAGAAAATTTGCACCTGAAAGTGAAAGCGAACAAATTGATCAACTTTTCATGCAAGTGAGTCAAATGTGAGTGATCCTCAGATGGTGGGGAAAATGATGCTACAAGGTAAATACCAACAATTTAGGTTCACTAAAATGGGTGGAAAATTTACCAAATCAGAGGTGGATAAGTATTTGAATGAAGAAATTGAAACCGATGAGGATGGCTTTAATGTCTTAGTATGGTAGAAGAATAATGGTGTAAGGTTCCCTATTCTTTCCCAAATAGCCCGTGATATTTTTTGCTATTTTAATTTCTACTGTCATTTATGGGTCTTCTTTGAGTACCGGAGGGGGAGTATGAGATGGATTTTAAAGTTCTCTAAGTCCTAAAATGACACAAGCTCTTATATGCGCTTAAGATTGGACTCGGTCATCAACTCAACCTCTTCATATTAAAGAAGACTTGGTTGAACTTGAAAAATTAGAAAAGGATAATGCATTTTCTTAAATTTGCATTTCTAGCTTTCCACTCACATCTCATTATTAAATATATTTAAATATGAATTAACTATTTTTTTTTTTTTCATAAATCTACAAGGTATTGCCCTAGAACCTACAGTGGATTTGTAAAACTCGAACTACAAGTGTGCTAGCTAATTGTTGGTTTAATTGATTTTAATTTTTTTAACCTTTTTTATGCTAGACAACTGGTGTTTCTTCTTACTTAAAGAGTATACTTCATTTTTTGGAAGGAGGAAAAACCCCCTACAGTAGGTATTAGTTGGTTTAGTGGCTTTAACTTTGGATAATTTTTGAGTTATAATAATACTGTCATGATGTTATAATTAATCATCATTTCATAGTTAAGCTTTTCAACCACCAGCATTTTGCTTGTTGTCCACATATTTATCTGCCATTTGGCTAGAAGTGTTAAAATGCAAACTTCTATCTTGTATATTCCTTCCCTTAATCATTAATATGATGTTTATGCAATTAGCTTTTGATTTTCATGTGTATCTAATTGATAAATGTTGTTAGTGGTTACAAGACTCAGCTAAACCTTTTTTTTTTTTTTTTTTTTTTTTAAAAATGCAAACTTCTATCTTGTATATTCCTTCCCTATAATCATTATATGATGCTTTATGCAATTAGCTTTTTGATTTTCATGTGTATCTATGTGCATAAATTGTTGTTAGTGGTTACAAATTATATCTCAGCTAAACCTTTTTTTTTTTTTTTTTTTTTTGCTTGGAAGATGCAATTGCCTTTTTTAGCCATATCACTAACTGTATAGCAGTTCCACCTGCTTTTTTTTTTTTTTTTTTTTTGCTTGGAAGATGCAATTGCCTTTTTAGCCATATACTAACTGTATACAGGACACTGTTAGATTTGTTCATTTAACTGCAAATTATGTGAGTTGCTGACAGATCAGCCAAGATATCTTGTGTTGTGTTGTGATAGTTTTTTCTCAAGAATATATGTTGTAATTGAAAGGTGTTAACTGCATCATACTCCACTGTGAATCATGATGACTTAATGATAAGGTTTTCCTTGGAATTTATTCTAGGGTATATTATTTGATGCGCAACTGACTATTTACTACAATTTTGATAATGAACATTTTGGTTTGAAGCTCTACTTATATGATTTTGTTTTGGATCCCATGCAGGATTTTGAATGTGCAAGTTGGCGAGACATCAAGACTGGCGTAGATAGGGGCAGCAGCAGACCAATTGTTATTGTTGAAACTTAATATATTGAATGTGGTTTCATCTTAATATTCCAAACTGTTTGAATGTAGACTCTTCTTACATTTGAAATTAAGGCAAAAGCAAGATTTTTAATGTAGAATATTTTGAAATTATTGTTGTTGAAACTTAATATATTTTATGTTTTTTTATGGTTGAAGACATTTTTAATGACTATGTATCATGAAAACATGTGCAATGACTCGGAATTTTGGTGAACATTTATTTCGGTTAATTCGGTTACTCACAAAAGTTCGATGAAATTCAGTCGGTTAATTAATTCTTTATTTTCTTGAACTTCAGTACGGTTAATTGAAACAACCCGAATTTTTATTTTCAAAATATTTTCCAATTAAATTTAATGAACCGACAGCCTGTAAATTTATTTCAATATTTTAATGTGAATACTGGGATGTTTTTTCATGACTATTTTATTACTGATTGGATAAACCTTAGCTCAGTCATCATATCCCAAAGTGATTGAAAAAGCCGAAAACCAATTGAAAACCAAAGATTTGGGCCGAATCGAACTGGTTTGACCCAAACCATCTAGAAAAATCTCTTGTTTTTTTTATTCTCCAACGCAAACCTCACCCCCTCACTCCCTCACCAGCGCTGCACCTTCACTCCACCGACACAGCCACCACGCCACCTCCTCCTCTCTTCTTCTTCTTCTTCTTCTTCTTCTTCATCTTCTCTTTTCTTCTTTTCTTTCTTTTCTTTCTTTTCCCTTCACTGCGTTTGCGTCCTTGGCGAGACAGGGCAACAGAGTCGCGCCCACCTCCAGCCCGATCGGACCTCCTCGCGCGCCACCTTGCTGCAGCTCGACGCTGCAGTCTCTCCGCCAGCTCCTCTGTCAGATTATGCACTGTTCTTTGATGGTCCAATTTATTCTGCCTTATCAACTTCTCTTTTTTGAAATTAGTTTGATACCTTTTTTAGCGTTCCTTTCTGTGACATCCTACTCCGAGTCGAGTCATTTCATGGAGTCGAGTTGAGTCGAGTTGAACCAAACCCGGTTGGGGTAGAATGGGTTATTAAGTGGAGTTCCTTGATTGAGAGAAAAGATTAAAGCACAAGGGTTAGGATTGATTTGCATTAAAAGATTGAGCTTGAGTATTAAATTGTAGCCTGTTTACAATTGAGGTACCATTTAGAATTTTTACACACAAATCCCTTGATTTTTGATGGCCTACCCGTAATACACATTTTCACTTTCCCATTTTCATGTTTATCTTCATCTTCTTCCTTTCCTCTTCTTCCACCTTCTTCTTCCAATTTCATCTTCCTTTCCTCTTCCACCTTCCTTTCAATTTTAATGGTAGTTAAGCCTTAACTTCAATTTTTCTTCTATCCAAGTAAGTAAACCTTCTTAAGTTCATAATTGAAACATTTGGTGCTATTGTTTTAGAATTCATAAGAATTCTTATTTATAGGTGAAGGGAGTTCTAAGAGTGTAGAAACAAGAAGCTAAAGAAGAGCTCAAGCTTTTTGGAGCAAAGGTTTGATATCTCTTTTTCTTTACCATTTTCTTTGTATGAGATTTGTGTGGTGTGTTGCTATGAGACCATATTGCTTTATGTGAGTGGGAGGACTGGTAATGGTGAGAAAACAGGGAAAACAGGGGAACAGGGGAAGTATTGATAAATGAAGTAAAGAGTGAGTTTAATGTTGAAACAGGTTTGCTGGAAATTTTAACCAGTAACTTCAATCTTGCTTTGACCCCCTTTACATGGGTTTTTGAATCATCCAAAGTGTCATAGAAGAGTTATTTGTTCCTCTATGTGTTAGCTTTATATGGGTTTTTGAATCATCCAAATTGGAGTTGTATATTGAGAGATATGACCACAAGAGTACAGACAATGCAGGCTGGAAGCGCGCGCGAATTGCATGATGAGTTCGCGTTGCCTTCTCGCGCTCCCGAATTTGACCTACGCGCTCGCGACTTTCACCTGAAACTCTCTGACTCTTATTTAGCACATCTTGCGCTCACGACTTTCAAGTACACGGTCGCGACTTGTGCTCGCAAACTCTCTGACTCTCATTTGGCACATCTCCCGCCTTCATGACGCGCGCTTCGCGTAGTTTTCTGGGAACCACTGTGTTTCTCATTTGGCACTTCTCGCGCTCGCGACTTTGAAGTACGCGGTGCGGACTTGTGGGCCCGATACTCAACTTGTCTCTCATCTAGTGCATTACGCGCTCGCGACCTTGCAAGGCGCGCTCCGCGACTTGTGTTTTTTTCTATTGCATTTTTCGGACTTCTTTTTCCAAATGCAAATTTCGTATTCCTTTGCTTCACTTATAATTCCTCCAATCATTTTAACATGCAAATACAACATTAGAACATGTATCAAACAACATCAAGCATGATGATGTGAAATCAGAAATATACATTATAATTATGGAAGTTAATGTAGTATTCATGTTGATGTTGTGTTATATTATTGACATATCCAACCATTATGCTCGCATTGGAGGTTAGGTAGAACCATGTAAGAATAAGGCTATGTCGCGACATAGGATAGCAGATCTGCACTCATACAGTTGGATACCCGGCTACAGGCCAGTTGAAGTGGAATATGAAAAATATATGGGCATAGCAGACAAGCATACATTATTCAATCCAGTTTTCCATACTTTCTTATCACTTCGGTTTCACTATAACCTTATGGAGCCATACAGATATCTTGACATAACATTTCATGAATTATACAGTATTATAAACGGTACAAAGGTATCATGAAAGTATCATGATGTGTGTGCTTATATGTGCCATATGTGTTTACATGGTTCTTTCTACACATGTATGTGTCTTTATCTGTTGAGATATCCACTGAGCTTTATTTGCTCAGCGAGTTACCTGTTTAACTCGCAGGTTTTGAGATTGGACAATAGAGAGTTAGCTTACAACTGCTGCAGTTCATCTGTAGAAGACTCAGTCTTCAGGGTAGCTACTCATATGGATGTGTATTTTTGTTTATCCTTTTTATGGCGATCGTGTATTTTTGTTTTCCTTTTTATGGCATGTACAAGGGGCACACAGTTCGGGCCCATTTTCATTTTGTAAACCTAGTATCATGTTTTTGTAAAATATAAAGTACATTATTTTTTTTGTATACAGTATCAGCATGCTATTATATTCAATATACATTATGATTTCAGCATGTCAGACCATACAGTCAACCAGTTTGTAGCGCCTCGGTCCGATTCATTCGGGTTTACGGGTGGACCGGGAAGGGGTGTTACAGATCGAGCAAGGGCAGCACCACCACGAGCTCCACCTCCATCGCGCCTCCTCTCTCGCTCTCTCTGCCATCGCTAGTCGCCGCCGCTTGACGCTGCTCCTCCTGCGCGCGACTTCGGTGAGTGCTGCAGCCAGTTTTGGTCGATCCAGTGAATGCTCTTTCATTTCGTTCCATTGAGATTGGTTGAAGGCCAGTCGATTTGGTTTCGTCACCGATCAAGCAAACTCGGACAATAATATTTTGTTTGGGTATGAATTTATTTTATTAATTTTTATTAATTGTGGTTAATTAATTTAATTTTTAGTAATCTTGGTTAGATTAATTTAAATGTTAGTATATTAGTTAATTAAATTAGATTTTATTATTTGAGAGTTAATTAATTTAGTTAATTTAATTGTATTAAATTGAGTAGTTTAATTGAATTTGTTAATATTAGTGTTGATTTAATTAAGGAACCGTGATAATTGATATAATTAAATAGAAGTTAAGTGTGATTAAGGTAGTTTAGATATAGATGTTATTGTAAATTAATAATTTTGATTTGTGCGGTGATGGTTGAGATTGGAAGAGGATGAGAAATTCTGATTTGATTGTTTGCCCCGACTTGGATGGGCTGTGTGGTTTGATAAATTGTTGATATTGTTAACAGGTGGATAGTCCTAATTTTAGGGGAGATGCTGCCGAATTTCGTGTAGAAATCTAAAGATTATTTTTTAGGGACTTTAATAGATGTACGAAATAAAATTATTATCGTTAGTAAATATTAAATTAAGGTAGTTTAGATATAATGTTATTGTAAATTATAATTTTAACTGTGCGGTGATGTTGAGATTGAAGGAGGATGGGAAATTTGATTTGATTGATTGTCGGCTGTGTGGTTTGATAAATTGTTGATATTTTAACAGGTGGATAGTCCAACTTTTAGGGAAGATACTGCGGATAGTCCAACTTTTAGGGGAGATACTGCCGAAATTTCGGTAGGAATTAGATTATTTTTAGAACTCTAATAGATAGTACGAATAAAATTAGAATTCTTACTTAGAATTTTCTTGTTTATTTTAGAGGATTATAAAATTCAGAAATGCGAGGACAAAGGTTGGAAGCATGTGGCTAGAAAGGCAGTCCTTTTAGAGGACAATAAAGAACTGTGAGTAGTGTTAGATAACTAGTATCATCCTCCCGCCTGCATTCATGGCATTCACGACTAAAATGTTTTATCCATGCATTGATTTGTTGAATTGGCCATAGTCGTGCTGCAACTATTTGTTGATATTTGTGATATTGCTGTGCCTTATTTGTGTGGAATTGGGATGAAGTGGGTCACGATGGGTTTGTGAGACTGATTCTGTTATATGGATCCTGATTCTGATTCTGTTATATGGATCCTGATTTTGATTTCTGTTAGCTGGGTAAATGGGAGATTGGCGCCCCCGTGTGTACCTACTGTTCTGATCTGTATGTTCTGGAAAACCACAGGATGGCTTCTTGTTGTTGGCACCTGATAATCCAGATTTGATTGTAGCCCGCAAGGGTGGCCTCCTATTGTGAGCACTTGATGATCGAGATTGGATGGAGACCACCGGGTTGCCTCCTGTTGGTATATATATATATATATATAATATATATATATATAATATATATATATATATATATATAAAGAGATTATACTGAAATCAACAGGTTGGCTTTCTTTATTGGGGGCTGATAATCTAGATTTGATCGCAGCCCGCAGGGTGACCTCCTGTTGTGAGCGCCTGATGATCTAGATTTGATGGAGACGACCGAGTTGCCTCCTGTTGATAAAAAAAAAATAAATAAAAATAAAATAAAAAAAGAGGGAAAGACTGGAAAAATAATGAGAGGACTGGTTGTGTGAGAATTGAACCGGTCGGCCAGAATGGGGGATTGGCTCCCTGGTGCACACGTGAGAGGATGAGCCATGTGGGAGGACGGCTCATCGGGGACTCCACTGACTAATTTCCACGTGATGTGATTATATGAAGGTGATGATAACTGTGATTGCTGTTGTATTGCCATTTGTGTGTCAAACTGCATGATCACATAATTTAACGGGTGACCACATAAAATTATTTTAGCATTTGCTATGATTGTGTGGGGTGAGAGGGTTATCTAATTCTATTCACTGAGTTTATTTCTCACTCCCCTCCAACCCTCCCCAGGTAATAGATGGAAAGAAGAATCGTGGAGTCTAATTGAATGAACGAGATATGGTTCGATAGGAGTAATAATCATTGTATCAAATGATAGGAGCAATGATCAGTGTAGTGAATATGTAAATGCAAAGAATAGTGAATTATGAAGTAGAGTTCCGCAATTGTATTTCAACTGAGTTGTAAATGAATAAATAGAGTATAGACATTTATATTGGTTATATTTTGAAAATAATTAATCTGGGCCTGAAAAATAAATTATTGGGCCTGAATCCACAATTATGAATAGCATATGAGTTTTAAATAATTTAGGCTTACTACGGGCTTCGGGGGCCTTAAGCCTATTCAGGTCCTAGTGCCAGTCCGGCCCACGGAAATGGGTCGTGACATTAATAATCAAAATTAGTTTGGTTAAATGATTCAATTAACCAATTATTTTGGTTAAGTTCGGTTAAATAAAAAAAAATTCGGTTAAAAAATTTAGTCAAATTAACCGAATTGGCCGAATACTCACCCCTGGTACGACAATGTAAAAATAAATAAATAAATAAAATAAGAGGAATAAAAATTTTTTTTGATGCATGCTAAAACATAACCTGTCCTGAATGCCAGGCAAATAAGGACTGGACTGCCCTTGAAATGATCAGAAAAAGAAAAGGCAATGGTCTTAATCAATGTCCACGGTTAGTATTCAAATTGTACTTCTAGAGTTTTTATTAGCTTAGATTTGATGGGTTGAGTCTTCATATAAAGCTCATGAATCCAATTAAAAAATACGAGTAAAATTTATATAGAATTTTTCATGATAAATTTAAATTAAAAAATTAAATAATAACATGTTTAAAATAAATGAATTTTTCACAAAATTTTATAAAATTCATTTGGAAATCCAAAATTTTCTGTTTGGAATGAACAAAAAAAATATAGATTTGAATTGTTCCAATGGAATTCTATGAAATTCCAAATGAATTTCACAAAATTCAACAGTTGAAATTTTAATTGATAAAATTACCCTCCACTATAAATTTTATTATTTTTACTCTTTTTTTCCCTTTGTTTATTTTTTTTTTTAATTCCTACTAACTTTTTTTTGTTTTTTGAAATTTGGTAATAACTAACTTTATATGGTTTACTTTTTTTATCCTTTTAGTTTTTTTTTCAAATTCCTATTAACTTTTTTTTTTAAATCTGGTAATAACTAACTTTATATTTTTACTTTTTTTTTTTCCTTTTGTTTTGGAATTCCTATTAATGTTTTTTTTTTTAATCTGTTAATAACTAACTTTTTTTTTCTTTTTTTGAAAAATTCATTTTTTTTTCCTTTTTTTGGAAATCTGATAATAATTATTTACTTTTTTCCTTTTTATTTTTTTTGAAAATTTCAAACTATTAATAATATTAGTTTTTTTTTAAATCTTATAATAATATTATTGCGAAACAATAAAAACTGACTATCAACAGTTGTTTCCAAATGCAATTGAAAATAGTAATAACCCTTTTAATTACTTAAATCAATAAGATTTTTAACAATTAAAATAATTATTATGATAAATGTTAATACTTATATAATTAATTAATTAATAAAAAGAACAAGTTATTTTATTGTATATAATAAATTGATAATAAATTGGTTTGTTTGTTATTTATTTTTATTAATTAAGGATAATATGTGAAGAGGCAACAGGATTGATGTTCTAGATGGTAGCGAGAAAGAATAAAACGAATCGACTAATTGAATTTTTATTTAAGAAAATTTATTCCAAAATATAATTTTTGTTAATACTTATATAATTAATTAATTAATAAAAAGAACAAGTTATTTTATTGTATATAATAAATTGGTGTTTGTTATTTATTTTTATTAATTATTATGTCAAGAGTATTATAAGAAGTAAAGACACATGAATTTTCATTTAAGAATTTATTCCAAATATAATTTTGTAGAATTCAATTGACATTTTTATTTTAAATTATGACATATCAAACATGAGAACTTCATTTATAAATGAATTCTATATTAATGATTCATTTGTTCCAAACATGATGTAAGTTACTAAAATTTTAATATGTATTAGGTTAGATTTGATGAGTTGGGTCTTCTTATAAAGCTCATGAATTTAATTATAAAAACCGAGCAAAATTTAATTTTATTTTCATAATAAGTTTAAATTAAAAAATTAAATCAGTTATAAATTTATTCTAAAAATTAAAATATTTTTTGAAAAGTTAATATATATATCGTTGGTATGTTTTATAAAGAAAGTGTAAATTTTAATTATTATTATGCAAAAAAAAATTTTAAGTAAACATATTTATGCAAAAAATTGAAATGAAAAATAAAAATATTTTTAAGCAATGTTTTTATTTATGTCTCTTTAAAATAGTAATATAGAACAATATGCAATTTTATTATTAAATACTTTGTCAATATGATTAAATCCTTCAAATTATGCTGATAACAATGTTTTTTTATAAGTATTTCATATTTAAGTCACATGTGCAAAAATATAAAAATTTTCAAGTATGTTTCTATATTCAGTTGGTGAAATTTAATTTTAATTTTTTCATATATATATATGTATGTATAAACAGGTTTATAAAATTACTCATGGGCAGTTCATGAAGTTAAATAAATGGAATTTTAATTATCGACTTATTTATTAAAAAAAATTTAAAAAATAAGTTAGAAAGTTGTGATGCACAGACACGCGAGAGACTTGACATTTCCACGTTTCAGAAATAGAAAAATCTGGGAATAGCTCGGAAACGTATCGGGTCCGTTTCCATAAATACTGCAAGTCAGACACTCATTTCCTCTCTCTGGAAACATTTCTTGTATTAAAGAAAAAAATCAAATTTCAAATCAAAATCAAATTTAAATGGTTTGCAAATCCTATTTGAAAAAGGACGAATAATCCTTCTTTTAATTTCAATATTCAAACTTCAAATTTAATAAAATTTCATTATCTTTTTTAATTTTGACATTTGAATATTTTGTTTTCTTTGTTCTTTATTGAGTATGAAACTTATAAACTTTTTTTTCTCTCTTTTAGATATAATTTATAATGATTTATTTTTAGTTATAGTTAGAAAACTTTATCTGTGGTTGATTATCCTTTAAAATTATAATATATTCTTTTTAAATTATTTTTATATTTATTCCTATATTTTTAAATTTTATAAATAAATCTCTATATTTTTATTTCCGCATTTTTCCATATTTCTATTTCTTATATTTTTAAAATCTCATTTTCTATTTCCATCTCCGCATTTTCCTATTTTCCGGTTTCTGTGTCCGTGCATCACAGTAAGAAAGAGTCGTTAGTTTTTTTGAACTAAATCCTTTTTTAGTAAGCCTTGCTCTCAGCACTTGCATTTGGACTTATTTGCAGTCTGCTTCCTACACTGCACGCCACGGCTTTCCGTCTGGAGAAGATGTGAAAGGACAAATCTGCCACCCATCAATACTGCTGCTCGCTGACACCTCTGTCAGCGAGGTGTCAATCATAAAGCAATAGATTGCAAAATGATTTGCTTCGTTCCTCATTTTTCTCTCTCCTCTTCTCATTGGCTATCACACTGACCAATTTGTCTTTTGACCATTTTCCCTTACAGTGACATGTCAACTTCACTTTCTCTTTCTCTTTGACACGTATCAAACATTTTCTCATCTCACTCAGCTCATATCATTATGCGCCGCTGCGTTTGTTCACTTAACAGATTAATTTATTCTCTCCTAATGATAATAATGAAACAAAAGAGAATAATGATACCATCTAAACCCCGCGAGAATCTCGCCTTGCAGGGATGCTATGTTAATGGGCCGCATTGCAAGGTTCTGATACAATCCTCTCCTTTTTTGTTGTTTTCCTTCACTATTTGTTTTTTTAATATGTTTATTTAGATGTATGATAAATCGAAATAGCACGAAAAACTATACAATCGAGGTAGTCTTCATCAAATTAATGAAAATTCTCATGATCGAAGAGATTTAAATTCGAAATCTGTTACTCTTTATATTAATAAAAAAACTAATCAGATTGTACTTAGTTAACTTCATCTTTTATTTTTTATTTTAACTAAAAACAATAATTCACACGATACTAATTTAGAAGGTCTAAAATTAAATGTTCATTTTGTTTAGTTTGTTTTTTTTAAAGGTAAATTTCAATATTTGCAACTATTGATTGTATAGTATTTTGGTAAGTACTAACCTATTTGTATTTCTTGGTTGATGACGGGTAAGGAAATAGGTGTAGGGTTCTAGAGCTTACATAATTCTTTGCATTTGGCCGTGAATAGGGTGGAAACAGGGTGGATATCCATGAATTTTGAGTTATCCATATTCATATCTAGTTAGAATTTTAATATTTATATCCAATAACTGTTTAACCCGTATTTGAATCCGTTTAAAATTTTAATATCTAAACCTATCTCAAAACCATTTAAAATATTCCCTTAAACAGGTAGAGTATACGCAAATTTTAAATTATTTAAAGTCGAATTTATTAAAAGCACGTGAGTATATATTGTATTCCATTCATATTTCCATTCAGAAATAGATTGGAGCATGACGGATACCTTTAAATACTCGTCCCACTTCTGTACCTAACCATAAAATGGAAAAATAGTTTCATAGAACACATCATAGTAGACAAAGATTTGATAGATTTTCAAATTTTAGACATTAAATCCTTTTGACAATAAGGATAAACAACAGAAAAGCAAGTAGTTTCCTGCGCACGAAATTTATTCATTTATTTTAGGAAAAAACAAAAGATAAAATTTTGTACATGCTCTTTACAAAAAAGAGGGAAGTGAAAGCTTTTTTTTTTGAAGGAAGTGAAAGCATAGTTGATCAAGTATTTCATTGTCAAGACAAATTTCTTTTCAAAATGTAACGGGTAAACCTATTTGAAATCTCAAAACTCTAAGCAATTTCAAGAAGATGCCTATATTTATGTTCAATTATCCTATTTTGTTGAGGCATAGAGACACAAGCAAATTGGCTAAGGATCCCATTTTTATCGACAAAATTGTTAGAATTTATGATGGGTAAATCCAGTCATTTGTTTCACATGACAACCAAATT